CAATATTACCGGATGCCAAGGTACTCCCCGCACTGTCCGACCTGGCAGGGCTGCCAGACTCTTCCAGCAGATCTGCTGCTAAGGCCCTCACTAAACCCATGAACCCAGCTTTGCAACTCGACAGAAGGTTCCAGCGTTCCAGCGTTCCAGCGCTCCAGCTTTCCAGTTCCATTCAAGTTTTGGGGTTTGAGTTTGCCAAACAAACGACGAACCACTCCCAAACCCAGAGCTTGAGACCCAACAGTCACTGCTGTTGGGAATATGTGTATGTATATATATATATATGCATATGTTAATCTATATATATAGTATATATATATATCATATCATATCATATCATATCATATCATATCATATCATATGTCGGGACATGGCACATGTAGCATACATGTATATATGTATTCAAACCATTCTGCAGCAACAAGATTAAGTATCTTGCTCGTCGACCACCAGTCTGTCTGAGGCTAAATACAGAAACTTAGTGGTCACGCCACGCAGTTGGAATTTTGCAACGGTGCAAAATTTGAAGCGAATTCAGAATAGTTCATTTTGGTACGAGTATCTCCGCACTTGTCGGATCCCACAAGCTCTCGCTTCACGGATCTGCCTCCAGCACTCCATAACTTGTCTCCGACGCAAATTCCAGCATTCTCAGCGAGACTTCCTGGAGTGACCTGGTGCGGGGCAATCAGCAGCGTTGCAAACTACAAAATGTTATCTAAAGCTCATGCTGCAGAGCCCGCTACATGTGCACCTAAAATATCCTAAAATCAACTCAAAGATTCATCATGATTCATCTATTCCTGAAACACACGGAACAAAGATGAACAAAGCATCATGATATCATGATCTTCTGCTTAATGGACCAATGATGACCAATGAATCCCCTGCCCCAACCTTCACCACGTAGATGTCCCCATCGCTTTCGACCACGTTGAGATCAATACCGAAGGGTTTCGACTCTACGGTGAATCGCACCTTTGGTCACGATGTTTGTGGTCTGAGATGGGCCTGGACTTGCTGGAGGAGTGCTCATGGAGGTTTCAACGGCAACGGCGGCGACGGTTTCAAGGTGGATCAGGCCATCAGGCAAGTCTAGTTGCAATCCCCTTCGCGGAGGTCAGGCTGTTAGGAGTTTAAGGGGCCGCTCTGCAATGTTGAGATCAATTTCATGTGGCCATGGAAGACTTACCATCGGAAAATCCCCACATATCCCGACAGAGAACCACAACGAACCACATTGAGCTCGTGTGGGCTCCCCACTTTGCAAAGCATGATACTGCAAGCAAGCGGCGACTTTGGATTTCCTTGGGGTCAGTTGCTTGATTTTTCCACAAAGGCCCGAACATTACCAGAGCCCTCTGCTTCACATCAGGCAGCGCCATACATCATGGTTCGACCAAGCAAAGAAAAGCAAGTCTTGCATTCCTGTTCTACAACCTGATAAAAACAGAACGGAAAGTTTAAAAGCCCAAGGACGGCCAAGGTTTTGAAGCTCATGACCTAATTACACTGCAGCTTCTCAGAAAGTGGAGTTTGGTCTTTGGTGCCACGAAGGCGCTTGGGTTTTCCTGGCTTGCGATATCGGCCTGGCACCTGCTTTGCAGCTTGATCAGGTCATTCATGACGAGAAATGTATCTTCAAATCATTTCAAATCTGTTCGTTTCGAATTTCAAGTGCCCAACTTCTTCGAGTGCTATTGCGAAATATTCTATCTGTGGTATTGCAAGAAAAATCTAGTCAATGCGGCCCGTGGAGAAAGCAAAGAAACCTTTCAAGTTCGGTCCTGATTTTTCGACTTACGGGATTCAAAAAACATCGACCGAAATTTGCCGTCAGCCTCCACGTTGAGTGATTTGAGACATCCTGAAGAAAGAAGAACCACTTGCATAAGACGATTGGTTTCAATGACTTGCAGAAATTGTCCATGCTTTCTCAACGTTTCTTATTGTTGTTTTAATACAATGAAAAGCCGCAGCCAGCACACTTATCAACACCTTTTCTACACGTTCAACTGACTACAAACTTCGCCACACAACTGGAAAAATGTGTTTTTTCGTCCATAAATATCCATGACCTCTTGCATTTTTCTGCTTTGTGGAAATCCCATATTCACACTTTGACTCAACGAGTTCCTCGACTTGTCTTCGTCTTGCTTTCTTGTGTAGGAGGAATGCACTCACACTCACCACCTTCAGGCCCAGATCCGAGAACGACGAAGCAAGCAAGCAGCTCATGGCAATGTTTTCTTAGAGCACTTTGTTAAGGGGTTCTGAAAGAAACGCCTAAAACCCTTGCAATATCGCTGCCAAGCATCTGCTTTTCTCGAGAGGCGTCTGCACCTCGTGCACCTTGTGATGAAGGATTCAGCTCTAAACCCCAAACCCTAACACGGACATTTCCGGAGACATGCCAAACACTGAAAACATACCACGCATCTTGCAACATATCCCTGGCCTCCGCCAGGAGCGCGGAAGATCCCAAGAGGACCGGACACAT